CTCCTTGCAGAGGTTAGGTTTGCAACAGTTTTACTTCTCTGTAAGCAATCTCCCTTTCTGAGATGCAAAGCATTTGCTTCTACGATAAGTAAACTGTGACATCAAAACTTGTGTTAATGTTACATGTTAGGAATAATATGTCATCGATAAGAGATATCTCTCAGCGAGCATGGGCCCTCTTATTTTTCCTTCTTTAATCTGCAGCTTCCAAATGAATTTAATACTTTCAACAAATTCAACAAATTCACTTCCCTCTTTATCAGATTTTTCTTCAGTGCATCTATCTTTGGTATTCGAAGAGAATGGTTATTCCTACCCTGAATTTGATATTAAACCATATACAATTGCAACTATTTTACCAAGCTTTATTTAAGCTTAACGCTTAAATAAAAAAGTATGCGGTGAAGCTAGCATGCATCTTGGGTTGGGAACTCTGCAAAAAAAATGTCATATTTAATTGACTGGTAACATTATGCAAATAAAATTGAGGGAGCGGAGTGACAAGATGAAAGAGGAAGAGGAAGAGCAGGGAGGGCCTGCAGGGTGGGGGGTAGGAAAAGTACGTCTCTTCACTTATTCATTGGTACTTTGATCGCTTCATTTTAGCTGGAATTACCGTATATTCTGTTTGAAACCGATGCAGTTTGGCTACGTGATCCAATGGAATACTTCCAGAACCAAACACTCATCGATGACGCCGATATCGTAGTACCGGTTAAAGGTTAGGCGGATGTTGCAATTTTCAGCCGGTCTTTGCAATATCAGAACTCCAACTGTGATGCAGTGACAGTTAATTTACACAAAACTTTTAACAACTTTTGAACAAAATTCTGGAAGATGCTTTACGCTTAGTATCTTCCAGTATTTTGACTAAAACTTGAAAATACTTCATTAGATACCGTACATCATTAGATACCCATTAGATACCCGCAAATACTTCACTAGATACTCGCTTCGTTCTTAGCATACCTGTAAAAGTAACGGACTTACTTATTATTCAAAGGGATTGGCCTTTGCCGTATGTTAGTCTCAGCAAAAATCTTAAAGATTTCAAAAATCCGCACTTCACGTCAATACTTATCGATTATTCATATTGCAGGTTATCCAGATCACGGATTAACGTACACGTTTGACCCAATGCTGGTGTATCCAACAAACGCGTCACGTTCATTACTCAATGAAATGTACTTACAGCTTTCAAAAGATCCTAAACTTTTTGATCAGGTAAGTTTGTCTCTTCATTGAACTACTTCACAACTGCCGACAAGGCCGTGTGACAAACACGCAGAACTAGTCTGTCATCTATAGACTGCAGAGGACGTGATAGATGGCCAAGTGGCTTTAGAATATTTGACCTAATTTCTAGTCAAGTAGTCTACTGGCAAATCATTTCTTGAGATTTTAATTTAAAAGTTCAAAAAACGAAACGATTGTCAGGGTTGCCAGCAGGTTGTCTGCTGAGCGATGCACCATTGTCCAAGCATTAGAAAGAGTTTTCAGCTGGGCAGATGCACAAACTTAAGACTGCAGAAGCGTGCGAACATAATACACAAATGCAAGCTCTTATAATATTTACTTTGACTGGCATCGAAAGCAAAGCACTTCTTACCACTTTAGAATTTTTTATAGTTTTAGGACCTTTCATAAAGACAAGTTCGCACTGGCATTTCTCAATTATTTCTGTGCCATTTTTTTCACTAAAACCCCTGCTTGGATCTAACAACTTCGGTGCCGGAGGAATTTCCTTCTTTCTCTTTGCAAACAGACTGCCGTAGGAATTTTTCTCATCACAAGGACTGCCATCGATAGATTAAATGGCCAAAACACCATTAACAGGTTGAGCACCTTTATTACGTGTGCGACCTTCGGTGATTTCAGTGCGTTTTTCGGTGATCTGTTAGTTACTTTGCTTTTTCGTAAGTGCTGGAACAATATTTGTTGCTAGATTCACGTCAGCCTTGTTCAACAAAAATTGTTGTTTCTTAAGAACATATTTCAGGACGTGCTGGATCAGCTCTGCCGTCAGCAGTACCAGGGACTGGTGTGTCGTCAATTTGCATGGGCTGAAGTAGCGGATGGGAAATGGTTTAAATTGGCCGATGCGGAGCGAGCTCATTTGAAGCCTTACATTGTAAACAATAATTATTATGTCGGTGTGGATAACAAAATCAGTCGGCAGGCACTAAATGGACTTTGGTTTCTGTCGACCAAAAGAAAATGCAGTATTTCGAAAGTTCGCAACATGCTCAAAAAATTTCAGACATGAAAAGACTGTAATTTTAGCAGTGCATTTCATAGAGACCAGAAGAAAAACTAAAATTTTTTGAGAGCGAAGGGGGCATCATCACTTGTTTCGTTAGCACTCAACTGAGAGTCCGCGCCACTGGATTGACAAATCAATTTAATGGGTGGAATTCACTTGGACTCAAAGTTATCACAATGTGGTGCATTTCGACAGCTCGGCTAGGGGTTCACAATGGATCGTACAGATTTAAGAATGACTTTATGAGTCTGAGACTTTTTTGGCTTTTTTCATACGAAGGAACATAGCGTATCGTTCTGAAACAGTCATTTTTATGCATTTTTGCGTCGGTGCAATTGCAAAAACGCATACTGTCAGGAGTTGTCTGTGTGTGTGTGTGTCTGCGTGTGCGTCTGTACCGAGTTTTCATCTCGAGACCCACAAATGTTGCAAGACTGAGAATTTGATAGTTTAATTTGCTCCTACTTGTGAGCCCCTAGCCGCAAAAAAAAAACAGCTACGTCCATGTGATTCTCACTTACGAGCACGTGCAGGTTTTTTAGCGGGAAAGCGATCTCGGGAACCACGCAGGCCAGGACTCTGTGAAGATGTTCCTTGTCCACGTCTAACACAAGGAGTTTAAATGCAACTTTCATGCCCCTTAGCTCTTACATATGTATATGTTAAGGCTCAAATTGACATCTTGCAAATTAGAGAATTAAGCTGGCTAAGAAGTTGTAGAAAGCTGTAATTTTACAGCACTATTTATTGCCTACTGCCGCGCCCGTGAATGTTCTGGCACTTGGAAATTTGACGCTGCAAAATCGAAACTGAGGCAAACAGACGGCTAAAACTTTCTGAGAGTAGCCACTGGCGGTTTTTGACCAGGCGGACATAAAAACAACTTTCACTTTTCTTTCATTTCTCACTTATGATTAATGTACGAACGCGTGAAATTTGATGCAACTCTGCAACCAAAGTAGCTAGAGCGCTGGAACTTTCTGAGCGTGGCCCAAGACCGCTTTTCTGCAGACACACGTGCAAACATCATTCCTGTTCCTGCCGCGTAGAACACGTGAAATTTGAGTAATCCCACAACTGCGACTCCTAAAGTGTTTAAGCATGGGTTAAAAATCACTGTATTAATTTCTGACATTCGTGGTGGCCAGTCTCAGTTCTTTTAGCTAGAAGCGTCTACCGGGACAAAAACCAGTGACAAAAACCTACAGGAAAACTGTGCAAAAAACGCATCTTCTCACCGGCAACCAGCAGGCCGGTTACTTATTTATCACTTTTAGTAATCCGGTGACCATATTCACTTATTCTAATGCATTTTTAAAACGCTCTTTTATATTTCGGAAATGCAACGTGGCCAGTCACTCCTGTACATGCGCTTGCGTTTAGTCTTACTCGGATGACAAATACTAAGAAAACAAAATTTTTAAAATAAATTACCGTCTGTTATACCCGATCTGCTTCCCTGTGTTTTCTGCTTCTTTACTTTAATATTGTAAATTTACTGCATGCAAATTCACTTTTGTAACAAAGCGTAAGTAATAGAATTTGATTTTCAAAATTTATGTGCGACACTTTGGAATTGGACAATCGCACGCAAATATTAATTATTTGCAAATTACTTTATAAGTATCGTCTTGAAATTATCGTAACAGATGACCGCAGACCATTTCCCCAAAATTAGCCTTCAGCTACTCAGTTTCCGGGTTGAATTCCTCGAACAGATAGAGAAACAAACATAATTTCTCCGATAAATTCAGGAAAATCGCAAAAACCATATTATCAAATGTATTTGAAGGAAGGGGAAGTGGAATAAATGGGCAGCACTGGTTATGCGTTTTTGCCTATATGAAAATTGCAAAAACGCATATTGCAACGGCCCTGTCTGTGAGTATGTGTACGTT